AGCTCGAAAGACACAAGCTCGAAAGACACTAGCTCGAAAGACATGAGCTCGAAAGACACTAGCTCGAAAGACACTAGCTCGAAAGTCACTAGCTCGAAGACATCAGCTCGAAGACACGAGCTCGAAAGACATCAGCTCGAAAGTGATTTAATTGGTTTTACAACATGATTAATGTGAGATATCATTATTACATTAATTTTTATATAATATTTTTAGTTACATATTTTTAGTTATATATTTTTATTTTCTAATACAATACAAAAACAGTTTTATATCATAATTAAAATCAAACCGATGAGCAATTGCATTAATGTAATTATATAAAGTGAAATTATTGCATTAATTAATAATATTTTGTACTTTTTGTTTATTATACAATGCTGTATTGCTCATATCTGATGTATTTGTAGCTCTATTAAATTTAGTAATTAAGGAAATAATGATATTTCATATTAAACATGCTGTAAAATCAATTTAATCATTTTCGAGCTGATGTCTTTCGAGCTCGTGTCTTCGAGCTGATGTCTTCGAGCTAGTGACTTTCGAGCTAGTGTCTTTCGAGCTAGTGTCTTTCGAGCTCATGTCTTTCGAGCTAGTGTCTTTCGAGCTTGTGTCTTTCGAGCTCATGACTTTCGAGNTGTCTTTCGAGCTCATGTCTTTCGAGCTAGTGTCTTTCGAGCTTGTGTCTTTCGAGCTCATGACTTTCGAGCTAATGTCTTTCGAGCTAATGTCTTTCGAGCTAATGTCATACTCCCAAAACACGATATAATCGTCGAAATACTGACGGAAATGCTATTAAATGCCATCAGATCTATAAATCTCGAGAGTTCGGGTATTTGTACCGATAGTGTTATGGTATATATGTTTAACATTACGGCAAATATTGTTCTAATAGTGTTCAATACAAGACAGTAGCGTAACCATCTGTCCAGGACATAGATTGTGTCCCGTAGTGTAACGTATAACCTTTTATTGTACCCTATTTTATTGCTAATAATATTGCCTTTGATGCGAATGTTTATGTAATCGTGATCTAGTTTGGTTTAAATATTAAATTAAAATTATTGTTATTATTTATTTGGTTACTACATACATGATCCAAATTTATTATTTAAGTATCGATTAGTGATTGCAGTTGAATTCGTGCAAATATCATCAATTACTTTAATTGAATAAGCTGAAATAACCCAAATAATTGTGTATGGTAGCCATAAATAAATTACGACTATCAAATATAAAAGGCCGTTTATAAGCATATTGATCGTGACAAATTCTATCACTTTTATAAAGGTACTTATGAAAACAGCAACCACAAAAATAATATGCATAACCCAAGCAAAAAACACCCATATTACTAGTGATGTAATGCGATTATTAATATACGGCCCAATGTTGGACAAAAAGAGCATGATCATTTTATAGCCATGTTTATTAATTTGATATAAAATTAATGATTTCGCAAATATATCAAACATTTGAAGCGCCTGTAATACGACCGTTATTAATATAACATTTGAACCAAAAGCGATTTTTCTAATCTCGGCAAGGTTCAATAAATTCTCCACACTTAAATATAATTCATAAACAAAATAAAATGTGCATGTTAAATAGCCGTAATATTTTCAGTATTTATTTTGCTTGATTTTACTCGGAGTGCCATATATAGTCAATCCCCCAAATGTTGCACCTATTAATCGGTGAAACCATAATATGGTATGTATTATCAACGAAAAATGCTGGTCTAATAAGCGCATTATCCAAATATTTTTATTTTTATGTGATTTGGGAAAATATTTAGGTTTGGCCATTTTTATATTTTTATTAATTATTTTTATTAACATAATAATAAAAATTAATTTATTACTTTATAAACTAAACTTTATTACTTTACATTAATTCTAAACAATCCAATCATCAAATAATCTCGTGATAAAATATTATGTTTACAATAAAATAATTATTCCATTAAATAGCAAACATATAAAGTAAATAACAATTTAATGTTGTACTGTAATGTTGTCATTTTACATGTAATGTACTTGTATTGTACTGATTATACAATGCAGAATTACAAATATCATAACAAATCAATTTTATTGAATTATGTTTTACATTACATTAATTGTAAAATATCCATTTGACTTACTATTGCTAAATATTTACTGTACTAAATGTTTATCTAAAATGTTTACTAAATAAACTTTGAAATTTATAAAAATTAATGTAACAATTTAATTAATTACAAAAGTATATATAACTCTCTCTCTCTCTCTCTCTCTATCTCTCTCTCTCTCTCTCTCTCTCTCTCTCTCTCTCTC